TGAAGATTATTTGCTCTTAAGAGCAAAGGGAAAAAGAATTAAATCCCTGGAATGTTCATGTAACTGAATAGTAAGAAAACAGATCCCTTTGCTCCCTATCACCTGTGCCTTTAGAAGACAGTTACATGTCCAAGACAGTAATGAAAACTTTTCATCAATGTCAAAGGAAAAAAAACCCATTAAGATTCCCTACAAAAATAAATTAAGAGACACCTCTCTTCTGAGAAAAGCACCAAATACTAGTCTAGGAGACAGTTCAGAGTATCTGCATTATCTTCATATCCTTGCTCAGAATCCCTCCTCTTCCTCTTCTAGTACTTGGGTATCAAGCTATTGAGATTAATGTATAATGGCAGTGAATACAAACCACAAGATGATTTTATTTTGGCACAGCTTCTGATGGATTTTCTATTTTCTGATGGATTTTTTCTATTTACTACATTACCTAGTGTATTTCAATTACCCACATCACCTTCTACTAGGACTCTATATTAAGAAAGCTGCCTCCCTAAACATTCATTTTTATAGTGTTACCCAAATTTTTAGTGTCACAAGCAGCTTTCCTATTTCAGTACTCTTTCATTATGAAGTCTTCACAGATTTGCAAAGTTAGATTTTTTTAAACCTCACAGCCAATCATTTCTCCATCTCTTTCTCCCTTTTGACCTCTTTTATATTAACCTTTTTATCTGGGATTTGTTTTCTCACTCTTCTATTTTTTCCACAATTTTCTCTCACCCTCCTCTGTAGCTAGTGAGCTGTACATTTTGCAGATCAGCACTCCCTTTCCAAATACCTCTTTATGAAAGGGGGATTCAGAGCTGAACCTCATATTTCAGGCTTCTGTCATATCATCAGAGTCTTCTCCAGGTTTTGAAAATAAGGTAGCAAAAAGCCAAGCAATTAAAAAAGGCAACAAAAAGACATGCCATTTATTATGATTACCGATCCACCAGAACAACCTTACGAAGGTGTTTAGGATTCACGCTTCTTAACTAGGTATCTAAATCCTCACAACTTAGTAGTCTGTCAGGCACTTAAAAAACTTTCTACATGTGGTTTCACAGGATTTTAGTATCCCAAAACCTACTGAAATACTTCAGGAAAATGCTTTCTGTTATTTCCAGTATTTTAAAAAAAGTACTCTCCACCTCCAGGCTTCTTATGAAACAAATGGAATGCTGCCATACTGCAGAAGACATGCAAAGGGATAAGTATGAGGTGTGTTTTTATAAAAGAAAAGCTCCCTCTAAATGTCACTGATAAGCCATACATACTTCTGCAACATGCAGTACTGCCACTGTCTCACAGCCACAACACCTATGTCCTTGGTTAAAACACTTTTTGCTCACAACTGCTTAGAATTTAGTGTTGAAAGAAACTTTATTTATAGTGGAGCTCGCAAGTTCTATTTGAAGACAGTGCATTGCATTTTAACTTCATCAAGATACATTAACAGTGTGCTCACATAACTAAGCCTGCTAAGAAGTAAGCTATTTCTACTTCTACTTGGCCAAGCATCAGGAATAGCAGTGGGTTTTGTTTATTTAAACTGCAGGATCTAATAGGAATGCAATAGCATCTACAGGCTGTGTTAGTACTTACATCCAAGCTTCCTTCACTTGTAGATGCAGAACTAAAAGCATCCTCCTCACCACAATCTCTGTTCATCCCCAAGTGTTCTTCTGTCTGCAACACAAACAAGTATCCTACACAGCAGCAGCAAAGGAAACAAACCAGCAAAAACATGCCAGAGCAAAGCATCAAATCTCATCACAGAACCAAGACAAACTCTCTGAGTAGTGCTGGAACTGATTGCTGAAAAACTCGGAAGTAGTCTGAAAAATTTCTCTAATGTAGGCAAGGCCCTAAGAAACCCATCAGCAGAAAGAATTAAGAACAAGAATATAAAGAAACAGAACAATTCTTGGGCAAGGAGGAAAAAGAGTAGTAAGCAAGTCGTGTAGCACCGGGGACCAGACCTAAGTCTCTGCTACATCCACAGACACAGGGGAACAAGCAGAGAACTTCTTCCCTGACCCTTGTCAGTGATGGGACTGTTTCTGTGCACTACCATATACCCTACCTAATTAAGCCTAGACCCCATGATTGCACAATCTTCAGGACCTCTGCTCTACTGGATTGCTTAGCAGTGCCAATTTGATCTGGGTTTAGCCTCAGGCACATGACTACATTTCACATCAAAAACATACCAAGTTCGTGCCACCTTTATGTTTTTTATGCCAGCTGCAGGAAAACAGAGGGTAACTGATCCAGCATAAAATTAGAATGGAGAGAACAAGATGATACCTGATCTGGCATTAAGCCTGCCAGTATAAAGTTAACCAAAGAAATACTTTCAAGAAATTTGGATCAACCACGAGAATAGGACTCTGCTTTCATTCTCTGTCAGTGTTTTTAATGCAGCAGAGTTTTTTCAAGAAGTTAGGTCTAGCGTATTCTCATACCACGATTATTGCTTTCAGTGAGCTAGCCGAGAAAGAAAGCATTTGTGTGGGCATGGAAACTTGAGCATTGGCCTGCAGTGTGCAGTGACACCTGATCCAGTACAGTTAGCAACGTGGGCTAATGTTTTTCTTCCCTTGCAAAAGAAATTGCCTTACCCTTGTAAATGCCTGCAGCGGTACTACTGTGCAAGACTTTGGACAATTCTTGCTACCAAAGAATTGTAAAATACAGACTATGAATGACCACATACATGCACATAGAGAGAAAGCATCACAGCTAATGCAAACAAAGTAATAAAACAAGCAGAACCAACTTGTCTTGTGGAGGAGTAAAAAATGTAAGAATAACTGTGAAGAGCAGAGTTTAGGAACTCTGGGCCTTTGATTCCAGTGCCCTGAAATCACTGGGCATCCCATCATATAATCCCTTCATAAACCTACCAAATCCTTTCTTTTAAGAACTTATTTAATCTGCCCTCATTCTGCTAAATTCAGCAGTTTCACTGCTGTTTTGGCTGGAAAACTTCTGCAGTACCAAGACAGATGTATTACAGCTAGTTAACAGCTGCTAGTTCCTCTGTGCTGCACTGTTCTTCACTTTCCAGTAACCTTTCTACCTATTTGGATTCAAACTCCTAGAGGTTTGTATTGAAAAGGCAACAATGATGCCCTTGATGGACTAAACCAAGTGACTGATTTAGTTTCTTTTCCTACAGAGTATTTGTCATCTGAAAGTAAGAGTCCAAGAAAGGAATGACCAAGAAAAGTCAATTAACTTATCAGAACTAGTGCCAAAAAAGACTTACACCTTTACCTCAGATTTAGAAGCTCATGTACTTGTTTGTAGACTTCTTACTTTTCCCCAGGTCAAATACTACTTGCAGTGTGTTAATTGATCCTCAGTATCCTTAGCGTCTATAAAAATTTGTGTTTTAAAAATCCTCAGGGTATCACCTCCTTGATTAACAAGCATAAGGAAGAGAATAGTAAAAAAGAGGAGTTTGCAATCTTTGGACAACCATCCCAAACTCAGCTATGAGAAACCAACTGCAGTAACCACAGAATTTGGATGCTTCACAGCAACTTTTTTTAAGGTTGCAAGCACAAGTATTTTACAAGTTAAATCTGAGCTGCGCCAGGAGTTAGAAGTCCAAGAACACACAGTCCATACTGAAGTTTAGGAAAATGGAAACAGAGAACAAACTATAGTGCAGAAACTGCATGCTGTAGTATATTCAGTTTCTCCAGAGGAACTACAGCCCTGCAGCATGCCCTAGAGGCTCAAGCTGAGCTCCCCTGTTTACTCCATTGTTCCGCGCAGATACAGCATTATTGCTCCAGTTATGCTCTTGTTTCCTTCTACAGGGGAAATATTTTCTTACACAGGATAAACACTCTGAAAGGGACTGACTTCCTATCTCATAGAATACAGTTTGCATGTGTCCTTTATAAGGTGTTAAGAATAGCTGAGCATTCATGACAGATCAGATTTTTCAACACAGTAATTCCCAGTGTCCATAAAGCTATTCCCCTGCAAAAGCACTTCAAATTTGATCATAACCAAAAGGGCACAGAACTAAAGATTTTGGAAAGCTTTCACAGTTTCAAAGACATGACTGAGAAGACCGGAAGGGTAGGTGAAACGCTGGTCCATTAAGAAGCATATGTTTCTTAGTACCAGCTGATCAGCCACACATATTTTCACTGCAAAAGCCTTGGAGGGCTTTTTTAAACTAGACAAAAGAAAATTCCCTTTTTACTTTTATACCCTAGGGTATAGAATACTTTAGAATCAAAATCAGTTGAGACTGACATTTTAGTGAAGGATGCAAAAAGTGTGAAGGTAAAAGTCCAGTGGTGTTTTTATGTTCTTCAGTTAAAAAGTTTTTCTGTATTTAATTTCTGTGATGACTGACAAGTTTTTCATAAAGGCACTTCAATAGAAGAAAATTGTTTTATATAGAATTTCTTTTTTTAATTTTCCAACTCAGGATTAAAAACAAAGTTAAAACCGCCTAACATGTACCCCATCAGATACTGATCCTTCAGTTTAGTACTGCAAGTTACTTCTTCTACACCTGATTATTTAGTTTTACAGACTTGGAGATAGCAATAGCATGACTACACAGAACTTCCTAAAGCTACAAATGCTTCAAAACATACTACCATCCATGGACAGAAAAGTTAATAAGACACTTCTACTTGATATCATAATTGTTCTTTATTACACCAGTTCTACCATGAGAAGATTACATTTTGTAATCTGAGCACTACGAAGAGGACCTAAGTTGCTTGAAACTCCTGCCCTTTGTTAACACCTCCTGAAACAACAGCATTTAAAGAAAAGGTAAATAAGCAGCTGAGATCTCCATCAGGTTGTACTAATTAAACATCATTTATGCACCTGCTAACAGATTACTCCTTTGAGGGAGGGAGGACAAAAACCACCCACAAACGCCATCACCCACAGACATAATACACCTGAAAAGATAACAATTCACTTTAGTGAGGTAGTACACCTTGAATACTTACCTTGCTGCTTCTTCTATCAGCATTAAACAATCCCAGAAGTCTTGTCTTTTCTTTTTCTATTGCATCACTGCTTACTGAAGTCTTTCGACTTGGTTCTGAAACAATTACAATGGAATATATTTTACATTTCTGAAATAAAGATTCAGAAGATCAGGATTTTAAAACATCCTGGGTTAATGATGTGTTTTTATGAACTGGAGATGTTATGAACTGAATTATCCAAGTAACTGGCAGATCCTACACTTTCATCAAACTTTTATTGTTCTGAGTTTGTTCTGAAATCTAATGGCGGATAATTGAATAATAAACTGTAGTAAGCTTTCAATCACAACTTAGTAATCATTTGTCCTGGGTTCGGCTATAGCAGTCATTTTTTCGCCTTCGTACTAGCTGGGGCGGTGCTGTGGTTTTTGACTTTCAGCCTGGGAACAATGCTGATAACACCGATGTTTTTAGTTGTTGCTAAGTAATGTTTACTCTGACCAAGGACTTTCTCAGTCTCATGCTCTGCCAGGGAGGAGGGGAAGCCAGGAGGAAGCAGAGGCAGGACACCTGACCCAAACTGGCCAAAGGGGTATTCCATACCACAGCACATCATGCCCAGTATAGAAACTGGGGGGAGTTACCCGGAAGGCCCAGATCGCTGCTCGGGGCGGGCTGGGTATCGGTCGGCGGGTGGTGAGCGGTTGTGTCCTCTCCCCTTGTTATTCCTCTTATCATTATTATTGGTTGCAGTATTTGTTTGTATTATTCCTTAGTTACTGGAGAGCTGTTATCTCAACCCGTGGGAGTTACATTCCTCCGATTCTCCTCCCCATCCCTCCGGGAGCAGGGGGAGGAAGGAAAAGGGGGGGAGTGAGCGAGCGGCTACGTGGTTCCAAGTTGCCAGCTGGGCTTAAACCACGACATCATTAAAAGACAAAACATGAGCAACTTGCTAAGTCTTCAGAGCTGCTTGTTAGATGTCTCACTTAAAACTCTTGGAGTACTCAAAGACTTTCAAAAAAAGATAATGGTGAATTGATGGTGAGTATCTTTAACAAGTCACAGGGTTGACTTAGCACAGTGAAGTTAACGGAAAGACTCTCATGTGGATCTAGATAAACCTCTGTGCAGAGGAAAGAGACCTTTTCCTTGGAAAAAGGGTTCTCCTTAGAACTTAGGCCAGCTGGTTGTACTCTTTTTCTCACCTTGGTGCTTTTAGTTCAGCTTGGAAAAGGGGCGAGTTTATATGTATTTCAGGCGGTAAAAGCTCGAATATGCATGTCCGCCTTGAACCAGCTAAGGAACTGTATGAATTCTCAGACTGTTTAGTCTCCCTTCAATTTTCCCCACATCAGCCAAGCAAAATGGTAAAGCCATGCATTACAGGCAGCAACTACTGGTTCGATATTCAATGTACAGACTGTAAAGCTCTCCCACTTATTTTAGTGGACCCTGCATAATGGTATAAAGATTTCTCCCTGGTTCCCAGCGTATCAGAGTATCCCACCAGCACACAGAAAGCTTAATGTACGGAGAAAAATTGTTTTCTCTTTTAAATACTTGCTTTGTTTAATAACGATTAAGAACCTAATGCAAAATTACTTGTTTGTTGACACAAAATAAAGGTTTATTTCACAAAAAAACCCCTCATCCCAGAAGTCGTGTTAACTGATTTGCATTTCACACAAAGCACGTGAATTTCATACTGATCACTTTAGCATATCAACAACGTCAGGTGTTAGAAGGTGTTAAGAACATACAGTAGTTCAAAGCACAGCAGAAGAGGAAAGATGATGAACCCAGAGGAAAACAATGAGAAACTACCCTTAAGAAAGGCTGCAACTCCACTGAAAAAAAAAAAAAACCAAACCAGCAATAAATTAATACTTTCCTCAAATACTATATGCTGCCTATGCTCACTCACCAGAAACTGCTGGTTTTCTGCTCAGGGCTGGGCTGCAATTAAATGTGGATCATGATTCCCTTACATAGTCTTTGACTATGAACAATAATGATGAAAGGCTGGCATAAGCCATGTCAGTAACAGCTGATCATCAACATTACCGTTAAACATTGTGTACTACCAATAAATTGGAATTCATAGCATATAATCTCAAAACAATAAGGAATCTTTATAAATCTGCATCAATTTTTCTTAAATAAATACAGTATATATTCTCTCTAGTATTATGCTTTGTATAAGAGGAAGCCACAACAGGTAATGACAGAGGATTAGAGGGAAAAGTACTGGCATTAGTGAAGCCAGGAGATAACAGACCATAAGGTAAGATGTGCTTGCTAGTGGAATTCCTTCCTTCCTGAAAATTTGAAGAAGTTATTTATTTTTTTTATGTTGTGTTTACTAGTAATGCAAAGAAGTAAAGCCAATTAAAAATCAACCATACCTTTCTTGAGGATAATTACAGCAAAGTACTTAGTGATGGAAAGGATATACACATTTTCTATTTAACTAGAAGCACCAATGTAACCCAATCAAACCCCACCTACCATAGCAATTCAGGAGTCAGAATCAACTCAAAGTTATTCAAAGTATATAGATGGGTTTGATACTAAAATGCTTCACTGCATGTAAATTGAATTCAGTGGAAGATCTCGTAGATCTCAAAATATTCTGTATTTGCTACTAAACATATCTTGAATCCGAGAGACTTCTGAAATGTTAGTATTTCTGAAATTCAACTAGTCATGCTTTAGGCAACCTGAAAAGACATGGAATCTATATAGAAACATACCATACCACAAAACAGTTAAATGACAGGACTTGTTAACTGCTGGCATTTTAATGGCAATTACTGAAGAAGCAGTAGGCACAGAAGCATGTTTGTTCTGACCGAAAGCACAGACATGTAAACAACACCTTGCAAAAAGACAACACAGATCTAAAATAGCTTGTTTCTCTACAGCTTTTTATGCGACATTCTTAAAGATCCATCTACCAAACCCACATTGAACAGAGTGTGAAAGGAAAGACGTTTTTCCCTCAGCAGCATTGTACAGTACCTCTATAGTTCAGAGAAGGTTCAGACTGAGTTTTTGATGGAGGAACTGGAAAAGGCAGGCAATGAAAGGACAAGAGAAGACATATTAAAGTTTAATTCACCTCATACACCACAATATTCATTAATTACTCCTAGTGCTTGTTTTCCTAAATATTACAGAAAAAAAAAATGTTGGCTGACAATAGACTTGCAGAGCTACTCCAAGAAGCGGTTTAGTTGCATTTATATTAATTCCCTTGTGAAGTTGCTTCAACTGCTAAATCGAATTCAGTAAGCAGGTGGCAGCAGAGCTTGCCTTTTAATATTCCTTCAGCTCCTGGTATATCTATATCAGGGAAGAAGAGAATGACAAGCACAAGCTTTTCTCGAACCAACTCTTACAAGAGCAGCCTATGCTTTCAGCATGTCTGATGCCTTACTTGCCAGTGGGAATGTGTTTTAAGAATCCATCTGTTCTGATAACTAAACAGACCGAACATCTACTCAGTGCGCAATTCACAGACCAACTGCTGCTGAAAACAATGGAGTTACTCCTCTTAGAGATTATGAATGAGAACACAGAAGGAGGAATTTGCTGGAACAAAGGAAACTTTTTGTAAATTTTATGTGTATTTACCAGTGTTCTCATCAGACACCATGGGGCAAAGTAAAAACGATGGCAGAAAAGGCTGAAATATACTCAGGATAAGGGGAATTTCACTATAATGAAAGGTATACTGAAAGGTTAAAAAAGAATCATATATATATATATAAAAGAGCTGATGCAGAAAGCTATTTATTAAATTTTATGCTATAAATTCAGCACTGAAGTCTTAGTTTTGACTGTATGGGCTACAACTGGATTCAAGGACCAATACTGCACTGGTATATATACCATCACTTTCATTTTAAAAGAAAAGAGTTTAATGAAGGCTTAGGCTAATTACTCTAGACATTGTCCTTGAACTATGCTGAATGAATCCTGTTGAATACTCAGCATGTTCACTATGTTGCTCCAAAATGGTTAGCTTAATTACAGTAAACATATCTTGAAAAAAAACCACATGTATTTGACTTATGACATGTTGTCAGCCACTCTTTCGAGCAACCTAACAATTCAAAAGAAAAGGAGACATTTGGTTTACTTAAAAGTCTAAGTTCATTTGACTTACACAGAGATAGAACTGTCACCAAAGGAGTTTGAAAGAAGAGACAGAACGTCAACATAAATAAGTAAGTATATAAATAAAAAATAAGCCGGCTCCTCAGCACCCACAAGACTGACATTATCTAAACAATAAATAAGGACATTTACTGTGCTGGAGGTGATACCAATTGAGACAAACTGCAGGAGGCAGTTTTAATGAATATCATTTTCTGACCTCAAAGTGACAAAAAAAATTTTTAAAGCAGGTGCATTTGAAAGCACGTATCATTATTATGCTATTTGAATACACGATCAGGCTCATAAAACTCGAGTCCAAGAAGCTGCAGCTACAATATCGTCTATGAGAACAGAAAGTGAGAGTGAATAAATAAGAGAACATAATTTTAAATACAAATACCTCTTAGCTCCTCTTCACTAAAGCATCAATAGCTTTGCTGTTTGGAGGAACTGTCTCTGAACCTGTCCACAGCCTGTTTCTCATGAACCCTGGTCTGTCGCCTTTGCCTCTCAGCTTTCGCAGCTGCCATGACTATGTCATGTCTCTTCTTTTTATCTCTCCAACCCACAGCACAGGTAGGTGACAGCTCTGCCTGGATGAGGCCCCCGTGTTACATACCTGTACTGACAGCAGCTGAAGGAGGTAGCAGAGCTCCTCCTTTTGCCCTGCCCCAGGCCAACCTGCACCCTGCCAGGGGCCAGCCCAACCTGGCACAAGGCCCAAGAGCAGCCAGGGATGGCTGGGCACACTGCTTGTCCTGGCTGCTGCTCTGGGCACGGCTCACTGAACAAAGCCAGGCAACTCTCAGGACCGAAATATCACTCTGCTGTTTCTGCTGGGCCGCAAAGCAACAAGAGCACAAATGCTTTTAAGTTGCCTACAATACTGTTGGCACATCATCTAACCCTGCAGTGACTGCTTTCAGTCTCAGCTCACCTCTTTTTCTGTCCCAGGCGTACAGCTCCTTTATCCCCAGCTCCTCCAAGGACTTGGTAAGCTCCAGCTCCTCCCCAGTGATGCCATCTCGCAGAAGAACAATGTGCTCTTGACTGACTTCACACTTCTCACATATAGCTGGGATGATGCTGTGGAGAGGCACCTCTGGACTAACTCGAACCACAGCCTTCTGCGTTTTCAGGTAGTTCACTACCAGCCTCACAGATTTCTGCAGAAACAAACACAAACTCTCAGCCCTCCCTCTGTGATGGCTAGGCTTCTTCTCATTCCCCAGTGAGAAAGGCATTGGGGACCTCCATATTGTCTTGACTCTTCATAGAGAAACCTACACCACACGCATACTATTAAATAAAATACTATTAAAAATAATAGTATTTTTAAAGAAATCTCAGAACTCCCCTGTCACTAAGGAGACACTCCCAAGCAAATAAGGAAAAGGAATTAGGCAGATGTAATCTGTGAATGTTTACAAGTACCACTTTGAAAGGCATGGCAGCGTAATTATATATACTGATTCAGCAAACATATTTGGAAAATGTCTACTTCTGAATCTTCACAATAGTTTGAAATACCTTTATTAACAGTAAGTCTTTTCCCCTATCTTCACTAAAGATGGCAAACAAAATACCACCAAAACCCTACTCACTTCTACACAATCCCACAACCCTCATTTCAGCCACTACTGCAAATTTCAATCACCCCAGTCTTCAGCCAAGCATCTTTATATGAACAGATTTCAATCTATTCAACCACATGCAACATTACATTTTGCCTAAATGCTGGAGTCCAGACTGTCACCTGCCAGACTGCACTGAAATCAGTTATGCTAGTAAAGCAGGTTATAGTCAATCTCAAGCTTTTCCCATCTGGTTTGAAGATGCAAAAATTGGAAGAACTGCTTGAAATCACAGGAATGAAATGATGTTAATGATGTTTCATGGCACCATTTTAGCCCTACAGAATACCAACCTCAGGGACCCTTGGCAGAGGTCGCTTCACCTTTTCTTCAGGAACCTTCTCTTTCAGAAGTACCGTCTCTACATCCAGTGCTCCTATCAAAGTGTTTGGCTTGTAACTCAGAGGTTGCTGGGTTCCTGAAGACTTCAGTTCAAGGCTATGTTGGGATGGATTTAAGCGATACTGGCTGCACAGATCAACCAGTAGATCCATCACAGCTTTACTGTAGGGAAAAAGACATTCACTGTTAGTGTGACGAAAAACAGTGGCTAAAAAATTTACCTCAGTTTTAAGATGGGAGAAAAAAAAAGACAATACAATCTGTGGATGTGTCACTAGTTAGCCATCTTCGGGAGGGAACAGTGCTAATGCTTTGAAGTGCTAAGCAAATCAGATAAATTGTTAGGAATTAAATAAAATTTGCACTTCAGTGTGCGTTTATGAGCTGGCAATTAACTATTCGCTATAAGGCAGAAAACAGTGCCAGTAATAGCACTAACAAACATAAGCCAAAAGCGGACAAAGTGCACCTTATCTGCTAAATCCATACATTAAATTCTCTGAGTCAAACCCTGTTCTTGTACATGAAGACAAGATGTAAGCAAGTGATGCACTCCCGGTACGGTAAACTCTACCTAGATTTGAACTCTCACTTAGCACATAGCACAACTCAAAACAGAACATTGAAATTTGGAACAAAAGGTAGACAGGATTTTTTTTTTCTGGCTCTACAACTTGAGTTCCCTGAATCCATTTGACATCAGCAATATTTCCAAGTACAAGTAATCTCTTCCATATTTATTTTGGTGAGGATATTAGCCTTGTATAAAAACATCTGGTTACAAGTATTTGCATTATCAAGAACTCTTACTGCAGATGTGATTCTTAAATCATGAGGTTAAAAGAGTCAGTCACTGCCTCTCTCTTATTCCACACCTCTGCATGGACGTACTCCATTTTGTGTCAATAACTCAACATTCACTGAAGGTTGATACTGCCTGACACAGCAGATATGAACTGTGTTCCTCCACACCCCAGAAATTCTCTTCTATCAAGGTACTGAACAGTTCGGTTTTTTCCAACCTTCCTCCCTAAAATTCCATCCAGGATCAGAGAAAACAGGTTTATTAAACCTGGGAGTTTTCTTCTGAAAAGTTTTGGTTTCATCAGCTAGTATCTGTCATCGATGAAACAACATAAATTGAAGAAAAATTACCAGCCATACCTGAAGACTGTCATCTACATGAGATACTTTTCTTCTGGCAGAAGTGAAACTAAGCGCACAGCCAGCATATTTGCCAAAGGAATTGGCATCACTTCTAATGTGCAAACTGGAAAAACTGTCTACAGAATCAAAATACAAGTAGAAGTCAAAGACACAAAATCCTTCACAGGTTATTAGCTACCACCGTTACATTTGTAGCTCAAGAACTGCCCCTCAACTGCAAGCTGTTGGCATCTGAGAAACTACTGCTGCCCGTCTTCTTCTATGTATACGTTGCTGGCAAACAAGTGCTCAGTAAGTTGGTGAAGAACCCTGGAGAGCTAATGGCACCGATGACAAGAATGGAAAACAAGAACAATCCCTTATTAACAGCTGAAAGCCTAAACCATATGTAGGTGACAGCTCTTCCTGCTCATGAGACAAGAAAGGATCTTCTTCACAGTAACCTGTTTCAAGTTTAACCGAGTTACGCAGCGTGAGCTAAAAAAGTAGCAAGGGTGGAAATTCTGAAATAGGTGATCACATTGAAAAAACAAGAACGCAGCGAGAAGATGACAACTGAACATCAAACAAGGAAAACAGATGTCATTAATACGCACAGGAGGCTTCAGAAGAATAGAGCAGTGGTAACTGCTAACATAGCATCTCAATAGAAACGTGTGGTATCTAAATTGAAACTGTACCAAGTCATTTTGCGGTAACTTATTTTGGCACTGCCCCCAAGTTGCAAATGTCTGTATTTCATAACCATGTTCAATTCATGTGTAACATACCACGGACCAAAAGAAACATTTACACTTTCTAAGTCCAAACTATAGGAGAACCCCACCCACACTGATGTTTACATGAATATTCATTAAGCTGTGCAGAAGTCAGCATTTAAGTAAGTGTCAGTCCACCTGATACAGATCTTAGCTTCTCTGTTTACAGACATACTTTGTTTAAACTGAAATTTGCATGTGTTTTTTCCTCTCAGCCTCATTACTATTGTTTCAGACAAAAGCAAATAACCTGGCAGAACCGCAATATATAGTGTTTTATGTGCTAGACATTTCTATTTAAAGTGGAATGCTAATATATTTCTGTAGCGCATAATATTGTGATAATTCATGCAAATTTGGACAGTTATCTTGCCTCATGTAAACTACTTCATTAAAAGCACTTCTTAAAAAAAAGATCACTTTTTAAAAAAAAATATAGTTCATCAAAATAACAGTTTGATTCCATGCACCTTCCACTGAAACTGTGAAATATGTTCAGCAGTAACAGTACAACCGCAAGATTAGAATCCATACCAGCCACCTGAGAAAGTAAGTTGCAGACAATCACTCAAGTTAAACAACTTCTTTCCAGATAATGAACAACCTAAGAATCTAGCCAAATCTGAAGTTTCATCTTACTGCTGATAACAGAGCAGGTGTGTGTTAAATGTAACACTTAAGGAAGTCTGCAACATCCCATCCTGAGCCATGCTGCTCAGAATACGCAACTGTTCCATCAGAAGTATCCCCAGGCTTCGGCTGTACCATTTAGGAGTACAAATTAAGCAGTATCTCCAAAGCTTCTGAAACAACTTCAAAGTGAATAGCATGCTCTTCCCAAAATGTAAAGTTTGGAAAATAGTTTCCTCAAAACTTCAAAAGGATAGAAAAAAAAATTGGGGGTGGGGAAGAAGGGAGGGGAAAGGAGGGAGACAAAAGATTTCTACAAACATAATTCAAAATTAATGTGTTTCCAGAGAAGTAAGAGATATGGGAAGTCCTTTCAATAAAGTTATTAAATCAGATTTCAATTTCACCAACTTGAAAAATTTTCCTTCTAAACTGTAATACAGTACAGCTTGATTTTCTAAAGAAGTTTCATTTTAAGTAACTCCATGTATATGTCACACCTAGAAGAAAGCCACTAAACACAGCAAGAGAATGGTACTGAGCCATCTACTAATACTGACTAACTTTTCTTTCTAACTTTTCACTGAATATAGTTCTTGGAAGATGCAGAGAGGGGTTCCTTCATTTGCTTCCATCTTGTTCCAGACATACCTGCGCTTTATTTTAACCTGCTTTTGAGACCTGTTAGAGACCATACTCTTATTTTTAAAAATTCAGGCAGGTCTGATCATAAAGGACTAACTCTAAAGCCAAAATGAGTAAGTGTCTCCTGCCTTTACAACTACTCAGAAACACATTGATTTCTTATTTTAATAAAATGTTTCTGAAATTTTGTCTGGAGAGACCAAACACTGTGACAGACACCGAACAATAATGACTGATAAGCAAATGCTACAGCACAGCAATAAAACTGGAGGATGAACCCAATTTAAGATTCAGACAACTATTTTTAGCAAAGGAGAGTACTTTCTGTTCTGATATTCTTTACTAAGCTGTTTGACATTTAACACCAATTCTGGACAGTAAAGAATAACTACTTTGTCAGCAACATTTATCAGGCTGAAGTCATGATGAAGTTTGAGCATGTCAGACCAATTGTGTCCTACTGAACAAAGACACCTAGAGTTTAAGAGGCAGAAAGCAACTGAGTTGTTTTGGGTGTAGCTTGGCCTGATGTCCTTAGATCACACAGAGAAATCTATTTTAGAATACAGCCTTGCACATCTAGGAAATAAATGTGTAGGGTTAAGTTGTACTCTATCAAATGACATTGACTTTCCTATTACCTTCAACTTTTGTGTTACAAATGCCCATTAAAAAACAGTCTCAAACTGGAAGAAAGAATCTTCTTTATTTAGGTCAATGCCAAACACACATTAGCAATCTAAAGTGACAACTGACTGGAAAAGACACAGTGGTGTAAAGGGGATGACCTGAAGTCTCTGATGTTTTCACTGTCTTCATTTAAAAACAGAAAATAGTGTTAGTCATTATCATCTTCTCAGGCTCAAAAGCACAGCAGGCACTTCATGGAAAGATGAAACGTTTTCCTACACAACCAGCAGCAATGCATACACTAAATACCAAGCTGTACTATTTATTTCCAAAATCTGGAATAAGCTGTTTGTTACAAGATGGCAATAAACTCTTAAAAAGAGACTGTCAGCTTGACTTAACTTTTATAAATAAATCTACTTTAAAATTCCAGATTCCAATAAAGTATCTTTAAATAGCACAGATTTTCTGGTTTTCTTGAACTGTGTTTCAAGAAAATTTAATGAAAATTTTCTACCCTGTTTTGATATTTATAGGAACTTTCTTTATATAAAAAAAGGAAAACTAACAACATGCTGCTTTGCTTACATACAATAAACAAATTGAAAGAGAAAATTTTTACTTTTAACTTGGTTCATTTATAATAACCTTAAGTGATACTAATTAACTACAGTAGTTATTTTCAAACATCCTCTAGTGTACTTCTGTGAACTGCTTTCCTGAAATTACAGAATCATTTTTCATTATGATGATGCCCAGGGCAAAGTTTTGCAAGTTTTTCTGCAACAGAAAAGCTATTTCCCCAGGGTACTCAAGAACAGATTTTGCAGAATGCACTTTTAATGATGGCAGTGAAAATACTCAAGATTTATAGCACTATAAACAACAGCAGAATTTGTCTGAAATGTCCTTTCATGATATCACCATAGATAAAAAGAATGAACAGGGAAAAGAATTTATTACCTGCACTAGCTCCCAAACTTGCTTCGAACTAAACGAAACACTTCTTTCTTTTAATCTAGTATCTTCATCACTAAATGCTTACCTCTGCTTATCATTGTGCTTTGTAGCTGTCCAGGTCGCTGTGTCAAAACAGTGCAAAAAGATGAGAACACCTGGGCTTTCACCCAAACCTGGACACTTAAGACAGTTCATCCCCTAAAAATTTCAGATGCACTTCACTGCGTTGGGGTTTTTTTGGTTGCATTCTCCATCTCTAAAAACATGAACCAGTGTTCATGTACAGAGAATTTCATCTTGCAGCAGTTACAAAGAATAGCTGCACACATGAGGTCTGTTCACAGTCTGATGCCATTGTAATATAGGGCTCATTACAGGGTATACTTTTCGTATTTCGTAACTTGTTAGGATGATTTACTTCCCTCCTTAGTTTCCATTATCTTCCATTTCCCACAGGTGACTATTAGTGCCTGACATCTGTCACTAAATCTCCACTCCAAGTGCTCAAGACAGAGCTGAGGGAGAATACCTGCTACTTGTGTTAGGCGCTGGTGATACTCAGATTAGCACAAGCATGAAATTAATAAATCAGGGGCCTAGACCTGTTATGCAGACAACGGAGAGAAGTGGGCACCTTCACAGAACAACCAAGAGAACGTTTTGGTTGCTTAGAGTGTTTAACACAGACCATATACATAATTCCAGAAAAATGCCTAAGGTTTGATTTTTGACATTTCTTTCAGGTTTTAGTCCACAAACTAAAGACTCTAATAATTGAAATACTCAGTCTCAGTGTATGTGATAGCAATGGCAGGGATAAAAAACACCTGTGAGAGACAGCATGTTTCCTGGACAGTGATTTTCCATTTGTTCTCTGCTCCTGTAACTTCTACGTTCTTCTTAAAACACCACTCTTGTAGTGGCCTTAGAGTGGTTTTTTTTTCAAGGAAAAGAAAGTATTTTCTAACCAGGTGGCAATTATATATCTCTCTATACAAAATGCTGCATGAAGATTAGCCTCTTGTTAGCTCCCAGGTGACTTGCATTTGCCAATGAAGCATTACTTTCTTTGGGACCTAACGGCCAGTGCGTTTCATGTCCTGTTCTACTTTCTAGGCTTGTTCTCTTCTTTCTCTCATGAAGTCCAAATCTCCCTATAAAAGCTCAATCACTAAATGTATAATTTGAGAGCTCTGATAAGCACGGCTTTCCTTTAAAACCTTTAACATCACTCTGGTTTTGGGGCTGACACACACAAGTTGCACTAGTCTCCAAAGTGTGCCTAAGCAAACACTAATTCTTACAAGAAAAGTAGGGGGAAGAATAAAGTACCAGACACTACACACTGCTATACACATCCTCCTCAGCTATCAGTACACACTAGTTGACAAACCATCAAAACAGACTAATATATCAGACCAACAAGAGTAGTTTCACAGGAATGCAGACTAACTACTGCAAAACCCAAACATAAAATAAGCACAGACCCTGATTTATCATCAGGCATCTATACATCCTCCTAATCTGGTATTATCCCTTCCTACAGTTTCTTGACCATACCATTGTTTGCTACAGTTTCATCATAGTATTGAACATATTTTTAGAACACTTCCAAATTCTTTCTTAAAGTAAGTCTTCCTCTTTCAAAACAGTTCTTACAGAGAGAATGAGAAAGAAGAGCTCACATGGTGAAGAAAATTATCTCAAAACTGCCTTTCCAGTACAGTTTGCCCTTGATTGTACCCTTTGACAAGGAGAACCTGTCTTCCTGTGGAAAAAACCCAATACACTTTATACAGAAAAGGCTTTCTAAATACCAGCAGATGCTTTGCTGTCTACACAACTGCAATGTATTTGTGAAGGCAGGATCTCTGAATGCAATGAATCATTCATCTTCTGAGCTTGCTTCTCGGCACGACTCCAGACAAGCATTCTGTCAGGATTGCTGTTTGCCAGCAGCACCTACTTTCACTGCACCAAATCCCCTCTGTATTATGAGATGTGATACAACCTAACACTAGCCCAGTGACACCACATGGAAGATACAGATCCATACATGCATTGAGGGTAATTCATTGGGAAGAGAGTGACAAAATCACTGCTAAATCCTTCCTGCTCCAGCAGAGAGGGTCCTTTATACATAGCTCTCAGAAGACTCTGGTAAAAAAGCCGCCTATAATGCAGAAAGAAGCATGGCAGAGAAACTCCATCAACTCAGAAAGGCAGACATTAGGATCAGCAAGTACACCACTGGGAACAGAGGGCTCCAGAAAGCAGGAACTAATCAAAGTCTTACCTTCCTTGTACTGTGCTCTTCTGCTCCACCCCGCTGGGTAAAATAACTGTGAAGTCCACCGATCTGTTTATCATGTTCTCCTTCATGCTCACAAGGTTCTGATCAGAAATCAAAGATGTGTCTGCGGGTGACTTGCGCTCACTGTGAATTCTACTTGCTGTAGAAGGTTGACTTGGTGGAGGAGGAGCACGAGCTTTCATTTTTCTCCTTGAGAAATAAAGGCAAGAAGAAAATCAATCACTTCTCATGAGCAAAGTATAAAAAAATATGCTTTTTCAGCCATAATCTCACATTGTTTAAAAAAGCTTCTCTAATCCAAGTCACTTTACAATGAAACTTTTCAATGGACTTGCATTTTATTTTTGCCTCCTCTCTAAAAATATGCTAATTTTTTAATGATGCACTCACTCCTACTGTTTGCTTTGCATGCCCCAAGGGATGAATCAGTTCCATAATTAGGATATGAAATAATCATCATTCTGTCAAGTATAAAGCATGCTCCTCTGAAGAGATTAACAGAAAAGCTGGGTCCAGTCCAGACCTGACTCAAGAAAGAGTTGTATTTATGTACATGAATGTTTCCTCCAAGTCAGAGTGGCAGGAGTGGAAGCAGGGTGAGGTTTCATTCAGCTATATTTGGGTTCCGCAGTATTACTCTACTTGAAGTATCATCTCTTCCTCTGCCCTGAGTAAGTAGCATTAAATCTGGCTCATCATACTTCATAGGGAAACAGCATGGAAAGGTCAACCGTGAATGGTATCACTTCTTACTGTGCAACTAGCACTAAGAGACTGCAGTTCTTTGAAAGCACCCCGAAGAGAACTCATTCTCCAGTAGTAAGCTATATGTCATGTGTGACACACAGAAAAACTGCACAACTTGCACCAAACATGCAGCATACTTTACAGAGATATAAAATCACCACAAACTCAAAGTTTACTTCACTGGCAAGCTGCCAGACAGATAAGCACCATATGTGTACTGTTAAACTTCTGAATAGCTGGCCTCATACCAAGCACATGTCTTAAGGGGATTAATTCTGATGATTAATATCCCAGTGACCTCTTCTGACTAGATTTATGCCTAGTTTAAGTCAGATTTTAGTGTAACAGATGGAAAAAGCAGTAAAATATTTACTGAGGAATTATTACTCAGGCTTACTGCCTGCATTTTTGAATCTGCCTGATTCTAGGGCACAGGAAGAGAGCAGACCATGATTCTGCACATCGTTTTCACCCTGCAAACAACATAAAAAGAGGTCCAGAAAAGAGGAGTACAGAGAAAACACTCTATGCTTAATACCATGCAAAGCTTAATGGTTGAATCAGTCAAGCGCAAACCTGTGTTCAGGAAAAAAATAAAAGAATTAAAAACTGAACAGAATTAATACCAAACCAAGCACTTCTTTAATTAGAGACAATCTCTTTTCTCACAGATAAAAAGACTAACACACAGTTATGTTAGCTTCTGACAGAGAAAAAAAAATGAAAAAAGAGCTACATCAGATAACACACACGCACAAAAAAAAGAGTTCAGAAATATTCCAAACCCTCCACACTTTTTAATCAGTGTTTGCGTTTGACTAACAATTTCTATGATATGTCTCATATTGCAAAAAATCACTACATTGCCCTGAAAATGCATATTTCAGTGAGACCTCAGCAGGACACTGCAAAATTAGCAGTGATGCAGATTCTTTCTTTCATTTCACGTGTGCATAAGAAATGGCATTCCTCTACAAATACACAAGGAGAGCTACCTCCACATTCCATATTTACTAGTGTACAGCAATTGCTCTTCCATGGGAAATGTTTCCTCAACGTTCACTTTTTATCCTGTATAAACCCAATGACTCATGCAGTCATCAGTCACTAACTTGCAGCTCCTACACTCCTCCCCATGGAGGTGGTGATAACAAGTTCAAGAGTTTGCTGTTTGCCAAACTACCTTGACTTTCTGTGTGTCCATGAACCAAACTCTTACTTACTTGTCTATAACAAATAAAATAAAAAATAATTGGGATTCATCTTTCTACTCAGATCCCTTTACATTTGGCTACAGTTGTTATTTGTAAGCAGGTGGCGAGAGACATGCGAGTTTTGCATAAATCCAGATCGTGCCAGCGTAGTTTTACAATCATGCAGTGCAACATTTAAGGACTTCAGATCAATTTAGAAATGATGTAATTCTTGCCCTCCATAAGAGCAACTGCATATAAGCAGCCACAGAGATTCACATCAATGTTTCTTAAAACAAGCTTTTCTTCTTTTGTTTTTAAAGCTTGTCCCATAATGGGGGGGGGGGGAGGGAGAACAATTCCGGTACAGTGCTCCTGTCAAAGTACAAAAGAGGGTGGGAAGAATAGAAGCAGGCAAGTGTCCTGAGCCTGGCAGAACGAGGCTCTTTTAATTATGGTTTACCTGAACTTGTAAATTCCAGGTCTCACAGTAAACAGAAATAGAAGAAATAAAACAATGGTAATAAAACAAACATGAAACTGAAAGCAGCTGAAACTGAAGAGATTTCAAACTTCAGGGGAGAAATGATCAATGACTGAGTTTTGAGGCTGATGAAGGAGCTGAAAGTAAACTGTGATCATGCTACATAGTGTTTGTTCCCTGGCAATAACATAAAGCTGCATCTGGTTTTCTGAAGGAACAGGCAAACAAGGCCAGGTACCTCAATACCAATTTACGGCTCCGAAATGGGAGTGCGATTTTTATCTGGCCACTTTTTATATACTCTTTACAGCCAATTCTGCAGTTACAGACCTTGTACAACACTGCTTGGAGCTAAGGAGAGCAGTGTATGTCAGGAAATCAGGCATCATACCATCAAAAGCATCAGCTACACATTAACCAGTGATACTCACTTTACCTCTGTAAGACACCTAACAGTGCATATTCTTTTTGGTATTACATGGTCAGGGCCTTTTAGATACTACAGTTCTCCTTTTCTTCTGTGCAGAAGGGACAGTGCAGGTCCATTTCCTTCAGAGACATCAGAGAAAGAAAAAGGGAAAACATTCCCACTGAAGTCTTTCTAACCTAGCAACAGTTCAGGTGACCTCATATGAACTTTTCCACAATAGAAACTATGTGCTCCCTTGAAACACTGCGACTGCTTTAAATGCCTGGTTTTCAACATTTTTCAAATGATGTATCTCAAACTATTTCAGTGGAAGCAGATCCCTTTAAAGTTCACATTTGTAGAACGATACGTGGCACAGATTTGCATTTCCTAGCCAACTTTCTGAACCATCTCAGAAACTAGCTCCACGAGGCACAGACTTAAATCCACAGCTCTAACTCTACCTTGGATCTGCACAAGCAGCTGCTTTCTGACAGGCTCTAGCAACTGCAGTCAGAAGGTGCTGAGAAGCCTGTTAATACTATTGAATGTGAGTGAGAAAAAGAATTCTGCTTTCTCTGTCACAGCTATGATGGTCATACAGGACAATACAAAAGCATTCAGCAAGAAAAGCCTTTTTGTCCCCCCACTGAAATAATGCAGAGAGAAAGCGTGTGATTTAAAATCCTGTTTAAGCATGGGTACTCTCAACCCTATAAACACAACATACTATTAAAAAGTTGCACACCATTCTTCAGTACAAGTTAAATTCAAAGTAAATTTAGCTTCACAGCAATTTTTTCTCCACAAACATCTTTCCCTGTGCTAAGTCCTAAGATACTTGTTAAGCCCCCTACCTGCTATTACTCTGTGGATGAAGTTACAAGCAGGAACACTTCAAACCTATGATTCATTCATGGTTACACGAATGTTTCAACCTAGTCCTTGACAAGGAAAACAGTAAAAGCAAGCAGCTGATTCTAACACGCAAATGTACAGTGTCTTTTACTGAGACTTGAAATAGTTCATCTCACTTTACCATAAGCTAAAAAAATGCAAATAGCCAGAAACTAATTAGGCAGAATATATAAATAACCTACCAGCACTGGTCTCAGAAACAGCATCAGACTTCTCAAAATGGAAAAGGAAAAATAAGCCGACTGACCAACAAGACCAGTGATTCTGTAGTACAGCACATAGAAGAAATGCAAAAGAAATGAAGAAAAGTTTCACCAGATGAAGAACTTCAAGGCAAGGTAACACAAGCCCTTTGGACCTACACTTTATTAATATATAACTATCAAGTAATAGGATGCAACCTGGACTTTACAATCCCATGCTGCAAAAACATGATCTCTATTTCAAAAAGAAGTGGTCCTGGGACTTCCATCCTCATGGGAATGCTATGCAGAGGTTGTCTTTCTTCTTATATGGTCTAACGTGCATACACAGACACGCACGCACACACAAAGTGAAAAAGTGATACTACATATCCTACATATTTCGATCATGCTCAAGAAAATCTGGAATCCTCTCTGCCCTGCCCTGTAAAGCAAAGGCAACTTTACAGGTCCAGGTCAGACTTCATCCCATGGATATCAGAAGGAATTTGGCAAGAGCTCCAAACAAGAATAAAACCAAAGACCCCAAAACTAACCCACACGAAAAAAGCAACCAGCCCTCAACACAGCAGAATTACAGGCAACATTAATTTCTGATATAGTGAACAACTAGCACAGGACCTCCAACCCAGTGAAGTCAGTTTGCAGTCTTGTCAATGCACAAGGCTGGAACAGTTACAGAGGGTTACTCTCTGAAATCTGTGTACATCCCATCTCGTAAATAGGAGGAATAAATCAACATGTAAGTGCTCAGTGATAAGCACAGTGTGTCCCTTGGGTGGAAAACAGGGAATAGACATTCTCAACTTTCAGGTGGCTGCAGTCCTGTAGTCTTTTGAGGGGAAATCCATGCACATTGCTGTTTGAGAAAAAAAAAAAAAACAAACAGATGAGTACTTTCACTCTCCCTCTCTGTCTCTGGTGACTTGCATTGCACAGCTAGAAACCCAGCCCTGAGGCACACCTTGAACTCCAAACCATGAGGACACACACAGCACCTAGAACTCACTCCTGCCTAGTGATCCAGCCTTCAAAGCAGATACCTTCAGAGAATATTTCTTATTAACTCTTCGTTGCTTATGGCAAAGCAAAGAAAACTGACAACACAGGCTGGGAAAAAGACACCCGCTATATCAGAATTTACAGTATGCCAAGTTTCCTCTTCGTAAGTAAAATCCTTCCAGCTTCTAGATACCGCAGCTCAGAAAAATTACAATGCAACAAAAATGTTAAGGAA